CTGCATATAATAGACAATATAAAAATCCATAGTTTTTTGTCATTTAGCCTTCAGTTACCTTCAACTGAAACCCATTTTACATTTGTAAGTGTTGAATGTGTTAATTCTTGGCAACATACTATCTAAAACTGAATGAGTCATTACTTTATAGAACATACAATAGAAAAAAAATAGGGTCCCCTTTGCAGAAATTGAATTGGAACCTTGATTGAAATTGCTCTTCAGTGGGTGGGGGTTGGATGTAGATGGTGGCTGATGCCAGGGATCAACAAAAATGCCAACATACATGGCCTTTGGTTACTATGCAAGCTTGTTTCTGTCACAGAATAAAAAAGTAAAAACAGTAACTGTGACCTTTTTATCTCACAATTCGGACTTCTATTATTGGAATTGCAAGTTTACGTCTTGCAATTAAGACTTTATCAGAATTGTGAGATAAAGTCACTATTACCCTTACCCTTTATATTCCATGGCAGAAATAAGCTTTCATAGGTTCCACATGTGGGGAAAAACAAACAAACAAACAAACATAAAAATGCACAGTCCAACACACATTCTCACTTCTCTCCCATACCTCTTCTCCCTTTTTCTGATCCAACTACTTCTCTACCTCCTACAACTATTCCTCTCCCTCTCCCAGGCATTTTTCTCTCTCTCTAATTCTGTGTTGTTCTGAATCCACAAAACCAATTCAAAGAGGTCTTTTTTTACAATCATTGGTGGTCGGGCCCCCCAGCGAACATCGTTCTGGGCCCCTCTCAACCGCTGGGCTCTCAAACTCTCCTCCACGTCATGGCCAGGGTAAAGCCTACCTCGTCCAAAAATATGAATGGTTTTCATCAGCTTCCAGCTCTATCACCCTCTAAAAGGACCGTTATTGTAGGAAAAACAAATACTGATAACAATGATATAGATTTTTTTTCTCCTAACAACAGGCATCTTGAAACTGATCATACCTGATCATACTCAGTCCTCAGTTGCTTCACTTTCATAATCTAAACATTTAATATTTGTCATAATTTTCCATAAAAACTATGCTTCAAGAGTAATGCAACAGTTACGTAGCATTTTGAGCAGTTGTATCAGTTGATAGTTAGATCATTGTAATGAAACGAATAGACACTCAATTCAGATGTAATGTGTGAGTGCATTGTGAAATAGTAATGCTCTGATGTTAAGTTGTGTCATTTTGAACTGGTGATTTTAGTTCAGTGAACAACAGATCTTTGGTTCATGTGTATTGTATCCAAGCATTTGGAAAAACTGTGCATTTTGATCATCGGTTGTGAATTTTGTGTCTAGAGTTTTGAAAAATGACATGAATGTTCTGTTATTAGTGCAAAAATGATTGTAAAAAAACTGTAATGTAATGGAAAGAGCTTCAACAACAGACTATTCCTCCAACTGAGACTGGAATCAGCTATTTCTAAATATTTCAGTGGTCTGTTACTTAAAAATGCTTATCAGTTGTTACAATATTTTATACAGAGAGATTTTTTCAATACCTTTGAGCTGCTGTTGTTGCAGAAGTAGAAGCTTTATACTATATTTAAGGTTTGGAACATTAGGTCTTCATTTCTGACATGCTGTGTTTAAACAATAGTAAATAAGACTAAAAACATCCATGATTTTGGTTTTGGGTAAGCTTGTATGAAAAGAAAATGTAAGCATTTTAGAAACATGATAATTGACTGAATATTGTGTGAAAACAATGTGAATTGTGTTAATGGTAAGGTCACAACAGACGGATGTTGTGCTAATTGTGTTTAGAGTTTTGAAAATGTGACTAGAGATTGGACAAAAGATATTATAAATAGTTTTTTTATAATACTTATTTTTATTTAATATTTATAATATTTAATTTAAAATTAAATAAAATTTAATTTTGACAATTTTCAAAGGCCTTCAGGATATTTCTGCTACTAGTTTATGTACAGAAACTATTGGAAATTTAATTTAATATTTATATAAATATTATAAATGTATATATGTGTAAATATAATATGTAAATTTATTTTATTCTATATTTAACTTATAAATAAATGTATAAGGATAATTTAAATCTGATGTATTTAATATGTATAATAATATATCTAAATATACCTAAAATATGTAATTAAAATTATATAAATTCTATTTAAAATAATATTTCATTAAAATAACATTTAAAATTAGTTAATTATATAAATAAAATAGTTACAATTATATAAATTCCCTAAGTTTCTGTAACTGAATGTTCTTTAAGTTTTTAACTTAAAGAAAGAATTTACATGACCTTTCTATTCATTTGTGATTATAGGAATTTCATACTTTTTTACATAGTTTTTCCATGAAGTATAGAAATCAGTTTTTTAAATTTCCTTCATACGTCCCAGTTTCCAAGAACAGGTATTTCTGACAGCTGATGTTGAGTGTGTTGCAGCGCTGCATCGACACACACACACGACCTGATTCAGTGTGTGTGTGTGTGTGTGTGTGTGTGTGTGTGTTCAGATGCTGGAGAGTATGGTCCATCACACGCGTCCCACCCGTGCAGAGAGCAGCGATGTGGCCAATGCGGTGCTGGACGGAGCCGACTGCGTCATGCTGTGTGTGTGTGTGTGTGTGTTTGTACAGTATGTGTGTGTAACATATGTCTGTGTGCAGGTAAAGCGCGGGGTTTCTTCACAGCGGGTGATATGGTGATCATCGTCACCGGCTGGAGTCCTGGATCTGGACACACAAACATCATGAGGGCGGTCACTGTGCCCTGATCCACAGCCTCTGATTCGCCAGAGTCACTGATTGACAGTTCTGTGCTAATTAGCTCTCATTATGTGTGTGTGTTGATTTCTCCTTCACTTACACCCTTCATTTGTGAATCATTTCTATAGAAATAAATGAATGAAATAAGCCACTTGTGCTGTTTTTATTTTCCTGTGATGATAAACTGCAAACACACAGTTCCTCCTCATGCTGAGAACAGACAGACACCTGATTTTTAACACTGTTATTTTGTTATGACATTAAAATGGTACAAAGGGAAACTATCAAAAACTAACCAAACTCTGTTAGTACAATAAAAATAAATAAATAAACAGATAAATCAAAAAACGTCTTAATGCTGGATTAGTTTCAGTTTTTGTCTTCTCCAGATGTTAACTGATGGACTGGAGTGCTGTGGATTACTTGTGGATTATTGTGATGTTTTTATCAGCTGTTTGGACTCTCATTCTGACGGCACCCATTCACTGCAGAGCATCCATTGCTGAGACACTGATGCAACGCTACATTTCTACAAACCAGATGAAGAAACATATAAAGGTGAAGCAGGAGTCAGAGCTTCCATTAAAGCTTTTGCCTTTGACAATGATGTGACTGATTGTTCACTTAGATGCTTTTGGAGCAGGTATGTAATGTAGAGTTAGTTTGGTCTATCTCATATTTATCTGTATAGAGCTGTTCGCATTGTTTCAAAGCAGCTCTACAGGCAATCATGATCTTAGTGTTTATAATATCCTAATATCTTCATGCCTTACTGTATCATTTATCAGATCAGAGCTGGACAATAATATAGTTACATTTTGTCATAGACTTATATAGAATGTGACTGTGAAAATGATCTTAAGTGTGTCTGAAGTTCCAGCTCGAGATGAGAATATATATATAAACCTCCTCTGATGAATTCATCATGTGTGTTTGAGCTTTTGCATCCTTCATTATTTATGAAAAGCTCTTTCTAAGAGTGAGATCATTTATTGATATCCAGATCGGATGTGAATATGAGGCTGTTTGTGTATCTGGCTCTCATTATGATTGCGAATTTCTTAATTGGCTTTAGCTGTTCAGTGTCAGAGAAACAGACATCAGTGACTAACAGCTGTCTCTCTCTCTCTCTCTGTCTCTGTCTCTCTCTCTGTCTCTCTCTCTCTCTCTCCTCCCGCCTCCGTGTCGTCATGGTGACGCGCCGGTGACTCGCACTCATACCTGAGCTGCAGAAGTGCGGACTGGAGCCGGTGACTGATGCTGCTGATGCTGATGCTGCCATGGCAACAGACCTTCACGCGCTCACACATTGATTTCATGTTTATTTAATACCACGTTCGTCTTTCCCTTCACGCGGGATCCGGGATCCGACGCTGCGATCGCGTGAAGCTCAACAAGTGACAGTGATGAATGCGAAGGAGCGACGCGAGGCGCGCTGGATAAACGCCTGATAATCGTGCGTTTAAAGGGGGCAGAAGAATCACGCGCGTCTGACAGCAGCTCCGGTGCGTTTCTCATCCGTCTCTCCTGTTGCGCATCTGATGATGATGATGATGATGCGCCTTCACACGTCTGACTGACCGGTGTGTGTGTGTGTGTGTGTGTGTGTGATTGGCAGATGAATGTCCTGTATCTGTGTCGCTCCTTCACATCGTTCTTATATAAGCGCGTCTGTTGAGCACGAGACATCACCGTGACAACCAGAGGCGGGAATCACGGAACCCGTGACCGTTCGGAGATGCTGGCCGGTGTCGGAGCGGCTCGGAGCGCCTGGGCCTCAAGGACACGGAGAAATGAGGAGAAATGACGGACGGCGCGTGAAGACGAGCGCGTCAAGGACGAACGGGGCGTCAGCGACGCGCGCTAATTCAAGGGCGTTCGAACGCGATGAGGAGCCGTCGGAGGGCAGCGCGGCGGGGCGAGGCGTCCTCCGGAGGAAGCGTGAAGGAGAATCTGTCCTTTTACCGGCACTGAGGTCAAACTGACCGTGAGCTCGTTCTTCAGCGTAATGACAGATCAGAGACAGAACAGACCCGTGCTTATCTGACAGAAGAGCAACAACAGGTCACTGTGTGCGTGTGTGTGTGCTTGTGTGTGTGTGTGTGCGTGCGTGCGTGTGTGTGCGCGCTCTTGCTGCTGGGGCTGGCATGGATGGTGGCACCGGGGCTTCCGCGGGCACGGACCCTCGCCCCGCCCGGAACGGGGACTCTAAGCGGCGCAGTAAGAGCAGCCTGCCGTCTCCCGGTTACCGTCTCTCCCAGGCGTCTCTGGAGGGCGACCGCGGGGAGCCGCTGCCCGGGCGCCGCCGCCTCTCCATCATGAGCTCCACGCG